ACACATGTCTTTCCATATAATAATGATTGAAATTTGTTTTAGTTCCTATCTCAAAGATTAGTGATAGAGTCAAAGAAAATGTGTTGGTCTTAAAATTTTAAAATAAAAATTTTATGTTAGAATTTGTTCAAATGTAATTCTTTTAACATTTATAAATATTTTTTTTAATTGATTGATAAAAAGCACCATAAGCATTAAAATTATTATTTTTATGATATTGAGTTATTAAAATATGATTTATCATAGGCTTAAACCAAAAATTATTGAAAAAAAATTGATTCGAATTAGATTTTCTAGACTCATTTTTAATATTTAATCTAATGAAAAATGTTTCGGACCCCCACTGGGGGTCGACCCCCAGTGAGGTGGCATGCTGTGATTGAATAAAAAAAACGGTTTTTTTTATTTATTTATTTATTTATTTTGAGTTTCAGCCAGTGGGGGCTCGCCACCTCATTGGGGGTGCGACCCCCACTGGGGTCTGCAGCATTACTCTTAATCTAATATTAAAACTTCCAAACTAACTTATATCGGTCCTGAACCGATAAAGACAATTTTTATTGATTAGGTAAATGTCATATTGTCATAAATATTAAGCTGTTGTTTGGCATATGGCTTTTTTAGTAAGCTTTTTGGTTATTTTAACTCCGGTTAAAATGTTCGTTTGGGTTGACATTTTTTGCCCGACCCCCAGTGAGGTGGCATGCTGTGATTGAATAAAAAAAACGGTTTTATTTATTTATTTATTTATTTTGAGTTTCAGCCAGTGGGGGCTCGCCACCTCATTGGGGGTGCGACCCCCACTGGGGTCTGCAGCATTACTCTTAATCTAATATTAAAACTTCCAAACTAACTTATATCGGTCCTGAACCGATAAAGACAATTTTTATTGATTAGGTAAATGTCATATTGTCATAAATATTAAGCTGTTGTTTGGCATATGGCTTTTTTAGTAAGCTTTTTGGTTATTTTAACTCCGGTTAAAATGTTCGTTTGGGTTGACATTTTTTGCCTTTTTTACTTTTGTGAGAGAAAAAATAAAATGATTATATTTTGGATGTAATATTTTATCTTAATCCAAAAAGCCAATGCCAAACGAAACCTAAGTCGATTAGATTCTAACTCACTTCTAATGTTTAGTCGAATATCACAAGCCAATTCTAATTCATTTTCACGAAAGAGTTATGACATAAGACAATTTATAATTTTGAGTAGGCAAATTTTTAAGCTTTACACAATAAGATAAAATTAATATATTAACAAATGTAATTTACTTCTATCATATGCTAAATTAAAATTACAGAATTTATAAAATGAATGTATTTATATTTTATATTAAATATAATTTTTGTAATTTTTTCTTTAATTTTTATCAATTAAATTATGACATGAACTTTTTTTTATTAAGAACTTATAACACACAATTAATAACATCAGAACACAAGCGAAAAAAAAAACATCAGAATAAAAACATTCTCTTATGTATGACTTTGATAAAAATGAATAAAATTTTATTAATTATAAATTATTTTTACTAAATATTTTAAAGAAATTGTATATTATTTTAATTTAAAAACTAAATTTTAGTTATTTCGATGGTTTGTTTTGTTATTAAAAAAACAATTGTGATAGACCCCACACCTCCACACATTTTGTGAGAGAGATGGAGGAGAGAGAGAAATATATATATATATATATATAAATAATGAATGGCCACAAATCAATTTTAAAATTAAAAAAAATTGGGGAAGGCATGTACGTGTTCTTGGAATGACTGAAGTACATGTTTGCAAAAAGGTTTCCACCTCTAATCTAATGTTTACATTGACCTCCATTTATTCGCAGGGTTAAGAGCATCTCCAACTCATCCTTCAAAACTTCAAATATGAAGGATCTTTTCTAATTTTGAGCTCCAACTCATCCTTCATTTCTTCCTCCCAAATGAAGGAAGATGGATTGATCCTTCAAATATGAAGGGAAGATGAACAAAATGAAGGAGCCTCTAAAACACTATTCATTCTACATTTCTTATTATATTCAAAATAACTTTTAATATGTAAATTTAATTTTTATAAAATTGACATCAATAAAAAATAGGGCAAATTACATATACACCCCTCCAGGTTTGACAAAATTACAGATACCCCCCTGAGGTTTGAGAAATTACGAATTCCCCCCTGAATGCTATATTTGCATAAGAAATTAGGGGGTAATTTGTTATAAAATATAAACCTCAGGGGGTAAATTGTTATGAAAATACAAACCTCAGGGGGCGGGAATGAATAGTGACCTCCTCTATATTTACTTTTTGAATAAAAAATATTATTTTCATCCTCTTAAGAAGAGGATGTGGTTGGAGATGCTCTAACTTCGTGATTCCCTAAACAGAATCCCATGATCTTTCTCCAAACTTACTTTCTCAATTAACCAAACAATTCAAATTTATATAGAATAAGGCCATAAACTTAAAAATTCATTCTAAGAATATATATTAAACCCATCTTACCGAGATGAATAGAATTAATTAATATATAAAAAATCTTAAAAAATTAAATGAATCATAATTCCTTAACCTTACTAGTAAATTTTCCTCTATTTGAAGATTTTAGATTTTGAAATGCTCTAACGGACCGAAACCATTTTGTCCCATGATTTTGGTGTTTCTTACACATTATTAATCCAATGTAACTCTCTCATAGGTTAAAGAAACGTGGGGGACCAATTATCTGCCGTCGAATTGTCTTATTGATTCTTCTAGATTCCATAACAAAATATTTTTCAAAAAAAGAAAAAAAAAAAAAAACAGTATTTCATTATTCCTTCTATTCCAAAATAATAGTCTTTTTTAAAAAAATTTAATTTTTTTTAATAATACAATTATTACATTTTTTAAAATTATACTTTGATAGTATATTTTTTTAGAAATAACAATTGTCATAATTATACTTTTTATATTATTAATAAATCTAAAAGAAAGGTAAAATAATAAAATCATATTATTTGATTTTAAAAATAGAATAATATTTTGCGACAATAAAAATAAAATAAGAGACTTTATTTTGGGGAATTGACCAGTAAATCCCATTTTATAGACTTGTAATCCATAAGGTCCTGAATGTTTTCTTAGTGACTGGATGGTCCCTTAATTTGTTTGTTGACAATTTTGCCACTGCTAGTATTATTGATTGACATTTGGTGTGGATTTGTATGGGAGAAGGCGAATGAGTGTTTGTGTGTCACGTTGATCAAAAAAGCACACTAATACTTTTTTTTTTTAATTTAGTAAATGTGTAACACTCACAACATGAGACGTGGGTTGTGACGTGAACACAAGTAATTTGACACAAATTTTTTTTTTCTTTTTTTGTCCCCGGGCATTCCTTCCGAGTACTTGTTCGTCAAATGGCACCCCAAAGCTTCCATCACAGCGCGGCACACAAAATTCTCTGAAGCTATCAATTCAATCCCTTTGAATTGTCTCTGCTTTTCCTTCTCCATAATCCAAAAAGCATCCGGGTCTGCAACGCAGAGCGGCTGATTCCCCCAAGCCCGCACTGCACTCCGTCGCGATTCGAGACCGTGAGGCTCGAACCGCTCGATCAAAACCCGTTTCGAAGACGAAGAACACGATGCAACCGATTCTCCATCCATCCTCCTCTTCAAAAACATTGAATGCCCCAGAATTCGAAACTCCTCATCATCCCCACTCTCTCCCTCCTCAATCTCGTTCTTATGCTTTTGATGCTGATCTATCAACTGCAGCGGAATCAACAGCACATAATGAGAGGGGTCGCAGACGTAAACCTTACCATTTGTTGGGTTCACGCAGAATCCGATCGCCTGTTCCAGCGGATTCACACAGGCCGCCATTGTTGTGACAGTCCCCCATTGCTGCTTCTAGCGTGAACATCGACAAGTCGGTGTACCACGTCGGCAAAGTCGATCTGCCAGATTCCTGCCCACCTACCAACATCACAATCGTAATCGTCACCTACGTCACCCAAATAAAAAACACCAAATCTCACAGATTCACACAGTCTGCCATTGTTGTGACAGTCTGCCATTGTTGCTTCTAGCGTGAACATCGTCAAGTCGGTGTACCACGTCAGCGAAGTTGATCTGTCGGATTCCTTCCAAACATTGTTCACGTCGATCTGTTAATTGATTTTGCTTGAATCATCATGTTGGAAGTGTTAAATGGTGGGTCTTTAACGGTTAGGGGGGGTCGATTGTGTGCGTGTGCCATGTGATTGTCATTTGGGATGGTTTGTTTGTTACACTGTGTGTAAAATTGATCATGGTTTGTGTATGGGTATCGTTATTGGGTTGTGTCCTAATGAATGTCCATGTCCATTGTTGTGTGGCTCTTATGTGTGTTGTGTGACTGTGTGTGAACACAATAGTGTGTGTGTGTGTTAGTGTAACGGGATGGGATAAGGATGTGATCCCTGAAATTGCGTGACCCATATAAAGGAAAGGGTACAAACGTCCACAACAATATAATTCAAATCAAACCAGGACCTAGCAGTTATCACGCTATCACTGATGGGATCTACCAGTGCAAATGTAAATTGGTGGGACTAAATGGTGTTACTGATTCAGTTATGGGGTTATGGGATTTTCGATAATTTTTCCTATATTTTAAGACAAAAAAATATTTATTTATTTAAAAAAAAAGAAAAAAAATGCAAACAGTAGTATTTTATCTATGAGCACCTAGTCCATGGAAAATTATTCAATATTCTCGAAATATTACGTGTCTGTATTCCTTAACCAATCATTATTGAATATGTTTTTTCATATTCTCCAATCATCTAACACGATACTCCACCTACTCACCTTCTTCACCAATCACAATCCTATAAAATATCACGTGTTTATATTATGAAATTACTGAATAATTACCTTAGTCCATACATATAAATCTAAATTGTGTTTGTGCAAAAATCCACCATAAAAACATACTTGACCAAAAAGACCAAACCATCCATATTATATATATTCCATATCAACCACACGGAGCAAACGAGAGAGAGATTGAAACCCTAGAGAGAGAGATGAGTGAAGAAGGAAGAGGGCGGCGAGACCTCGTCTGTCGTCGCCGGCGGCGGCCAACAACCCAACTTGACATGAAGAGTGTTGACCATACTTTCTAGGGAGTCAATTCCATTCCATTCTATTTTGCCAATCACTGGGACCCATCCCTTCCTTCCTCTGTTCGACAAATCTCCAAGCTCATTGGCTCATTCTCCCACACGCGCTGCCCCCAGCACGTGTCACTACTTGCCTTTTCTTCTTCTTCTTCTTCTTCTTCTTCTTCTTCTTCATTTCTTCTCTCTCTCTCTCTCTCTCCAACCAACATTACCTTTTAGCTCAACAATTCCACAAACAGCTCGCACACCCTTTGAAAGTAATCAAAATTCAACACTTTCTCCGACCGTATGGAATTCCGGCGACCCAACTCGCCGGCGGCGAATTTTCCAGGTTAAAAAATGCACCATACAGTGATAGACTCCGAACGCAAATCACACTGACAACAATCACATACCAACAAGGTCTGGGTTTGATTCTGATTCTTGTCTCGTCTAATATTCTACACATATACACCAACATATCTTCAATGGCAAATAGTGCTACTTCTACCCCAACTGATACTTTTTCGGCTCCACAATCTTCTACCACAGAAGACTTAGCCCTGAAAGCTTTGAACAAGCGATACGAAGGTCTAGTCACGGTTCGAACTAAGGCGATTAAAGGGAAAGGAGCTTGGTATTGGGTACATCTTGAACCCATTTTGATTCGAAACCCAGATACAAATCTTCCTAAAGCAGTCAAACTCAAGTGCACTTTGTGTGAATCTTCTTTCTCTGCTTCGAACCCTTCTCGTACAGCTTCCGAGCATCTCAAGAGAGGGACTTGCCCCAATTTCATCACAATTGCCAAACCCATTTCCACCTCACAACAACAACAACAACAACAACAACATCAATTACTACCTCCTTTAGCTTCACCTTCTTCTCACAATCATCGGAAACGAAGCTCTCATCCAAATCCTGGTACTTGTTCGTCTTCTTACCAACCCAATTCAATCGCGATGGTTGATTCCACTGGGTTGAAATTGAAGCAACAGCATTTGGTGTTATCAGGTGGAAAAGAAGATTTGGGTGCTTTGGCAATGCTGGAAGATAGTGTGAAGAAGCTCAAGAGCCCAAAAGCTTCGACTGGTTCAGAATTAAACAAGAGCCAAATCGATTCTGCGTTTCATTTTCTAGCTGATTGGTTCTTTGAGTCTTGTGGGTCTGTTTCATTTTCGAGCCTCGATCACCCAAAATTCAAATCTTTTCTTAACCAAGTAGGCTTGCCCGCCTTGTCCCGGAGGGAGTTTTTGGGTTCAAGGCTTGATTCGAAATTCGACAAAGCCAAAATGGAGTCAGAAGCTAGAATTAAAGAGGCTGTGTTCTTCCAAGTCTCTTCTGATGGGTGGAAGATCAGGAATTGTAATCATGGCGAAGATAATTTGATTAAGTTTATGGTAAATCTTCCAAATGGGTCGACTGTATTCGAAAAGGCCGTGTTTACGGGTAGTTCTGTACCATCAAAGTATGCAGAAGAGATTTTGTGGGAATCTATGACTGGGATATGTGGGAGTGATGTTCATAGATGTGTGGGTATAGTTGCTGATAAGTACAAGGCTAAAGCATTGAGGAATTTGGAGATTCAGAATCAATGGATGGTTAATGTATGTTGCCAAGTTCAGGGTTTTATTAGTTTGATGAAGGATTTTATCAAAGGGCTTCCAATTTTTAAGGTTGTCATTGATAATTGCTTGAAGATTGCTAATGTTTTCAATAGTAAGTCTCAGGTTAGGAATAGTTTCAACAAGTTTCGGTCAGAGGATCATGTTGAGCTTCCTGGGTTGATTAGAGTTCCTCCACTAAAATGTGATTATTCGAAAAACTTCACTTCTGTGATTGCAATGCTGGAGGATATATTGAGCTGTGCTCAGGTTTTACATCTAATTGTGTCGGATGATTCATATAAGGTGATAGGTGTGGATGATCCATTGGCAAGGGAAGTCGCAGAGATGATTCAAGATGTTGGGTTTTGGAATGAATTGGAGGCTGTTCATTCATTGGTGAAGTTGATCAGAGGCATGGTTGAAGATATTGAAGCCGAGAAGCCATTAGTTGGGCAATGCCTTCCACTTTGGGAGGAATTGAAAGCGAAATTGAAGGACTGGTGTGCCAAATTCAGGGTGGCTGAAGGTCCGATTGAGAAGATTGTTGAAAAGAGATTCAAGAAAAATTACCACCCGGCATGGTCGGCTGCATTTATCCTTGACCCACAATACTTAACAAGGGATTCGAGTGGAAAATACCTTCCACCATTCAAGTGCTTAACACATGAGCAAGAGAAGGACGTGGATAGGCTGATAACCCGGTTGGTTTCAAGGGAAGAAGCTCATATTGCATTGATGGAACTAATGAAATGGAGATTAGAAGGGTTAGACCCTCTATACGCTCAGGCAGTTCAAGTAAAACAGCGAGACCCTGTGACCGGAAAAATGAAAATTGCTAACCCTCAAAGCAGTAGATTAGTGTGGGAGACTTGTTTAAAAGAGTTTAAGTCACTTGGGAAAGTTGCAGTGAGGCTTCTCTTCCTTCATGCAACCTCATGTGTGTTTAAGTGCAATTGGTCTTTTATGAGATGGGCTTGTGTGCAAGGGAACTCAAGATTGGGCCTCGATAGGGCTCAGAAGATGATTTTTATCGCTGCTCATGCAAAGCTCGAAAGGCAGGATTTTTCGAGTGAGGAAGAAAAAGATGCAGAGTTGTTTGCCATGGCAAGCGGTGAGGACGACATGTTCAATGAGGTCTTTGCAGGTGTGTCCTCAGTGTAATGTTTTCTTTTATAAACTCTTGTAGAATTCTGAAAAACTGTAGGATATATTGAATTCTTTTCACTTATGTTCGTGCTGTTTACTTTTAGTAGAAGATTCAGGAGAGGGGGTTGACAGGGAAGGAGGGGAAATTGAACAATGTATTAATAGAAACTGAATCGCCACTTGATTTGAATGAATCATTAGGCTGGCATGATTGGAGGAGGTTCTTGATTTTGTAGAGGAGACACTCATTCTTGTTTATAAAGATAAAAATGGTCCAGTAACAGAACAAGAAGAAGGTTGTAACATCATTGTTGTTATAGTACTTTTATATAAATAATATCTATGACTTCTGTTGTATAAACCTTGTGTATGTTTCATGTTTAGGAACTGGGTCTAGAATTTATTTTTAATTTTTGTCTTCCTTTTTTTCTTTTTTTCCTTTTTCTTGCGGTTTCTAAACTCGAAGTAACTTTAACAATTGACTATAGGATTTCTGGACACTAATCAAACTAATCATTAGCACCTTCCCTTTCCTACAGCTTGCTGTGGAATGATGCTCTTTTACGACATTCTTTCATTTATCTTCTATGACATTCTTTATTTACTGCATATAATTGTACCATATCCTAGATACCAATGTTCAAGGACATTCACTGAGTTTCACTATGAACATGAGAGAGAGAGAGAGAGAGAGAGAGATGGCGCAGAGAAAAAAGGTGGACCGGACTTCCTCATCCTCAAGGAAGGTTGAACATGTTACAAATCAAACCAAACTAAGCCTTGTGTCCAACTCAAGTGGGGTTGGCTAGATAAAGATTCAAGAAAATACAAAATCATTACAGAGATAGGGAGAGCTGGACTTCCTCATAAGAAATCGTACATCCAAAGCTATTAGTGTTCTCTAATGTGCCTTCAAATTCAAATATTTTGTTATTTTTTGATGGAAATGCCATATTGCTATTTCTTTTCTGTTGAAGTGACAATTAGAGGGTGAAGTATGCCTATCATCTTCTGGATGTTATTAAGAGCTTGCCATAGCCCCCTCCTTTTGAAGTTCATTTGACTTGTTGTTTCTTCTATCTCCACCATTACAGCCTGGAACCATATGATAGTTGGGTTTCTTAATGATACTATTCTTTCTCCTACTTTTCATGGAAAATTTTGTTAGCTTAAATAAAGGAGGACTAAAGGTCTCTTCAAGTTGCTTGAAATGCCTACCACATCCATTCTATTTTGTAGTGGATTTTGGTTAGTTGCTTCGATTTTATTTGATTTTGTTTATCCTTTTTCTTTCACTGGGATGTATAGAGGTTTCTTTACAACCTAAGATAAATGGTATTGGACTAGCTAGCATGATAATGTAAATCGGAGTCTAAGAGCAGCCTCTTTGTACAAATAATAATAAATTTATTTATTTATTTATTTTGAGAATGCTGTACAAATAATGTTATGGGTTATGTTTGTCTCCAACCTCATCCATCCTATCTTATTTAATTCAATCCATAAGTATAGTCACACAATCTCTTCTCTTCGTGATCCACTAAATACGTGAAAGAGTTATTGTGTTTTGCAGACCCATTTCTCTATCAGCTTATTCTCTTGATTTTTTATTTTTTATTTTTTAATTCCCTTTAGAAAGAAAATAGATAGTGTATGGTTCTCAAAATTCTGTCTAATTTCAAGCGGGGCATTTCTTGAAAGCATCAGTTAGTGTTTTGCAGCCTTAGTGTAGTGCCGTAAATGCAACAGTGACTTTGAATCCTGTCCATATCATTTTCTACATCTTCAGAAAAATTATAACCTGTTATTAGCTCTCATATTAATTTGTTTGATGGTGTGAGCAACAGTCAAAGATATATTTGGCCACCATAATTACTTGGTTGAATTTTTGAACTTATTAAAGTTTGCTTGAAAAAGAAGTTCCAAAAGAATACAAATAAGAATTGGTTTGAATTTTTAAAAGTGCCTTTTTGCCACACTCTTGAACTGGTTGTTGGGTTGATGGAGAACCAGACTTGATTATCGTGTGGGTCAACCTCGGATGAACCAATAAGAAATCTTTGTAGTTGATACAGCACTGTTATAGATATCCATCTGTGTTCTTCACAGATTTGGTTGTGAATTGTGATGGTCAAAGAAAAGTGATGACTGAAGATCTTTTCCATTACCTCCCTCTCTCAGCTTAGTTATTTATTTACTTTTGCTAAGCTTTAATCTCATATCATCTTTGGGTAAGTAAACATAATTCTTTTTGCTGTATCAGACTGGGCCCACTGTTGAACTTTGATCCGGGCATTGAAAAAATGGGGTTTTGCACTGTCATCAATTAGAGTTTGCTATGATTGTTAAAATGTCTTTGAGCAAACTGGAAGCAAGAGAGATTGTCGACATTAAGAGGCACATAACACGGCTGAAAGGGATTAGGCAACGAACTTGAACTGATTTTCAGGTACTACTTTGTTGCAACCTTCCTTGACTAATTCAGCAGTTTGGTGTCATTACTGGTGGTGCTGTTTTTTTTTTTTTTTTTTTTTTTTTTTTTTTGGTTCTTGTACACATATTGGTGATTGATAATATATATTACTCATTTTAAATACAACTATATATCCTCCTTTGTTTTTGGCTTTGGATTGGTTTTGTAGAAAAGCCGAGGCCCTGAATCTTCTTTGGTCATTTGCTAGAGGTGTCAACCATTCAAAGCACAATCTCATTGTCCCTTTTGGAACTTGAAAGTAGAGAAGATAATGACACTAATCATGGTTTGCTTTGAGGAGAGTTCACCAAATTACAATTTTACACTTGGACATCAATTAGGCCTTTTTCTTGGCTTCCGTCGATCCAACTGCTCTGCCATCTGTTCTACATCAGTTTCACTATCAGCATGGGAATTAGGCAAGACTGGGGAGCCTATTGACAAGGATGCGAAGCACACAAATGCTCAAAAAATGTATAATCAAGTTATGTATCTTTTGATTTCTTTTCAGTGGCAGAATTGTGGAAAATTGAATTTGGGCATTGGAGTAGTAGCTGGCAGGTGAAATGTTATTATCTTATAGACGTGTTAATAATGATCCATGGAGAGAAAGCAACTGAAAAGATGAATGGTAGACGTTGGAAAATACAGAATGTAGGGCAGCATAGCAGATGGGGTCTTTGGTTGGTCATTATAGTTTTTAAAGTAGTGGTTCTTGTTTGTGTATTCTCTCTCTCAATCTTGTACCTTTTAATAGTACTCTCAACAGATTCTCTCTCTCTCTCTCTCTCTCATTTTACAGAAAATTATAGTATACTCTTAGAACATCACGTGTCCGTATTTCCTAATCAATTATTATTCATCATGCTCTTTTATATTCTTCAATCACCCAACACAATATTCTACTTACCTATTTCATCTACCAATCACAATACCCAGAAGTACCTGCTGTTTATACTCTGCTTTACTATATTCTTCTATTTATCCAAATTTATGACCGATAAACCCAAGTGGTTATGAAAATCATGTTTGGTTTTGAGTTTTTAAAAGAATTTTTTCAATTCTCAATTCGTATTTTTGTATTTTTAATGATTTTTTAAAATATTTTAATCAATTTTTTTTTTAGATCTAATTAATCTTAATATATTTAAAAAGTAAAAAAAAAAAAATTGAATAAATTTTTTAAAAAATTTATTAAATACAACAAAAAATGAAAATTTATTGAATTTTCATTTTATTTATTTATTCTTTTATTTGGTGCATTTTTTTAAGGTTTTTTTTTTTTTTTTTTTAATAATTATTATTTTTTAAACGTATTTAGATTAGGTGTATCTAAAAAATAAAAAAAAATTGCGTAAAATATTTTTAAAAAATCACTAAAAAACCCAAAAACACACACACACACACACACACACAAATTTAAAAAGTGAGTTCAATTTTTTGAAACCAAACATGAATGTTACTCTTCTTGTGGTGAGTGAATTCAGTAGTAGAATGGAATTAATCAGTGGTGTTGTTAGTTTTGCCTTTGGTTACTCATTTGCTGGAGACAACAGAGATTTTGGAAGTGTAGTTTTTATTAAATTTAAAGTTTGTAATCAAAATACAAGTTAACAGCACTTCTTGCTTTTCAATAATTTTCTTTTTTTTCAATTTATTAAAATTAGTTTTATGAGCAATAATTTTCTTTTTTTAATTTATTAAAATTAGCTTTATGTCATAAACTGTATGTAGAAATTATATTAAATATAAAATTTTAATACAAATGCATATATATATACACAAATAATGCTTGAGACCACCTAAAGTGGTGCTCTAAAAGTACCACTAGTGATGTGGCAATGGACGGGACTCACTGCTTGTGTCTTGTTTTTATTTTATTTTATTTTATTTTAAGTGCTTGACAACTCATTAGTGGTGCTTTAGAACACAACTTTTAGTGAGATGTATCATTACCAATATATACACTATGGTAGAAACAGCTCCACAGTTTACCAAATATATACCAATATATACACTATGGTAGAAACAGCTCCACAGTGTACCAAATATAGCAAGACTTGACTTTAGTATTGACTGCTCAACAACTAAAGAGGGATAATGTTTGAATTTTTAATTTCTATAGCTGCATTGTTCACTCTACTCATGTTTTCGCAAAAAGGGTAAGGAAATACAATGATTAGCATAGGACAGCATTCTCATTATTCGAGAATCTTTCCCCTTTAATGTTTCCTCATAATTACGTTATTTATTTTATTTTATTTTATTTCTCTCTCTCTCATCTTTGCTACTTATCCAACTCTTGATTTGTTTTTGAATTTGGACACCATTGTAGGGATGGAATGTGACACATAATTGGGGATTTATGGTTATATATATGGTCATGCTCTAATATATATGATGCATATATTATACTATAAAAAGCTATGGTAACCATTATGGTATTTAATTATGAAAATTGATTATCTGTGGTCATGATATCTATTTATCAATATATTATATAAGGAAAATGAACTTTTTAGTGAGAAGTCTTATAGGAGTTCCAAATTCTCATTATAATTTCTTTAATTTTTTTATTTTTTAATAATTACTTTTATTTGATAATCTCACATTAGGAAAAGAAAGAAAAAAATGAGTTGTTTTACTTATATAAAGAGAATCTTATACTCCCATCCTATTTAGTAAGGAGCCTTGTGAGAGTTACAATATCTCATACTAATTTTCTTATTTTTTTAATTTTAAACAATTAAGAAAATCTCTATTGTCTAACTTTTATTTAATAATTCCACACCAAAAAAAGAAGAAAAGTAAATTGTTTAGGTTGGAAACTTTTATCATACTTTAGGTTGATGGTTCACCAGGTTGATAGTTCACCAAATTGTACGGTGAAAATATGCCTCTCTAATAAGAGGTTAATTTATATAATTTAAAGGTTTTTTTTAATAATTAATGTTATTATTATTATTATAAAGAGTTTCAAAATTTGAAAGTCGTCACCCATCTCTCCCAATTGGATCCATCTTGCTTGCATGACTACAATTAATTATATTTTTAAAATAATATTTTGCTCCAAATGCAATGATGTAAGTTAATTCTACGATTATGACTACATGAATGACAATGTAACAAGACAAATGTCCGAGAGGAAAAGAGGTCAGTTGATTTACTTCGATTTATTTTCAGTTTTTATTAGTAACATTCTGAACAAATTAAAGTTCGATTTACTTTGAGCGAGATTATCATTTATAATCACGTAATTTTATTATATTTAATTTTTAAAATAAATAATATATATAATTTGATAAATAGATCATATATTTTTATTAAAAATAAATACATTGAAATCACATGAACATAACTTTAAAATGAATTTGATTTTTTATTTTTATTTTAATATGCATATGAGTTTACAAATTGATCGAGTATGATAAATTCACCAATCTAAACTATGCCTTTCTAATTTCCGTTAGCTAGCTTTTATTTATCTTTTATTTTACAATCCCATATTAAAAAAAGAAAAAAAATTGAATTATTTCACTTACATAAAAGTGAATTTTATGTTTCCAATTATATAAGCAAAATTTTTTTTTTAGTGAGAAGCCCCATGATCAATATCTCATACTCATTTTTTTTTATTTTCTTAATTTTAAACAATTAAGAAAATCTCTATTGGCTAGCTTCCATTGAACTTTTATTTTATAATCCCACATAGTTTTGATTTTAAAAATAATTTTGTATGAGATTTTGAAACTCTCATAATATTTAACTTTAAAATAATTACAATCACATATCGAGAAAAGAAAGAAAAAGTGAGTTGTTTCACTTATATAAAGTGTTACAATCTCACATCGGGAAAAAAAAAAAAAAAGTGAGTTGTTTCACTTATATAAAATGAAATTTATAAATAGAGTTTTAAGGGAGAAGCATTATAGAAAGTCTATACCCTCATTTTAAAATTATTGAATTTTCTTAATTTTAAACAATTAAGAAAATTTTCATTGGCTAGCTTCCATTTACCTTTTATTTTACAATCCCAAATTGGGAAGGGAAAAAAAAAAAGGAAAAAAATGAATTATTTCATTTACATAAAGTAAATCTTATATTCCAATTTATATAAATTACTGAAATTTCTTAATTTTAAATAATTAAGAAAATCCTCATTGTTAACTTTTATTTTACAATCCCACATTGGAAAAAGAAGAAAAAGTGAATTGTTTCACTTATATAAAGTGAATCTTATACTTCCATTTATATAATCAATACCAATTTTTTAATTTTATTTTATTTATTTTATTTTTTTAAGAACACATGTACAATACTCCTAGCATGTCACCCGTGTAATGTGAAGGTGTAATGTGAAGGTACTTTTGTAAATACAGTTTCAATCTGCAATCCAATGTGCATATCCATTTAACTTTTATTTTAAAATTTCACACCGAAAAAAGAAGGAAAAAGTGAATTGTATTCACTTATATAAAGTGAATCTTATACTCTTATTTATATAAGTAAAAGAAAATTTTTAGTGAGGAGTCCTATAATCAATACTTTTTTTTTTATTTTTTTTATTTTCTTAATTTTAAACAAATAAAAAAATCTCCATTAGTTAGCTTCTATTTAACTTTTATTGTACAATCCCACATAGAAGTTTTTATTTTAAAAATAATTTTGTATGAGATTTTGAAACTCTCATAATATTTAACTTTAAAATAATTACAATTGCACATCGAGAAAAAAATAAAAAGTGAGTTATTTCATTTATATAAAGTGAATCTTATACTCTCATTTAACATTATAGTATTGTGCATGTTTCAGTTCAAAATGGGTTATATTTTAAAATAAAATTTATAGGTTTTAATTAATTAATTTTGTTGTAAATTGGTTGGTCTTTTAACTTAGCCAATTAAGCTGAATTATTTTTGGTTTGACTAATTCACTAGTTTAACCATGGTTTTAGTTATTTTATCAAAATATATTACTTAGATTTGTTTGATCTGAAATAAACTAAGATTGACCTTATTAAAAATTGAATGATTGAAATTGCTTGATTAGAAATGAACTTCCCGTCCAAACAACTATTAATTTTTATTTTACAATCTCACATCAGAAAAATGAGGAAAAAAATGAGTTATTTCACTATATAAACCTATATTCTCATTTAATATTGTAAGGTTGTGTATATTTTAGTTTAAGAGCGCTTAAATTTTAAAATTAAAATAAAATTTAAAAGTTTTAATTAATTAATTTTTGTATAAATTGATTGGTCCTTTGACCTAGCCGATACAGTAAATCATTTTCGATTTGACTGATTCGCTAGTTTTAATTGCGATTTTAGTAGTTTTATCAAAATATATTGCTTAAATTTATTTGATTTGAAATAAATTAAAGATTGACCTAATTAAAGATTAAACGGTTAAGATTGCTTAATTCGAAATAAACTTCCCGCCCAAACAATTGTTAACTTTTAAACAATTAAGAAAATCCTTATTAGTTAACTTTCATTTAACTTTTATTTTATAATATCATATTGAGAGACCTAGCCGATAGGGTGAATCGTTTTCAATTTGACTGATTCGCTGGTTTTAATTGCGATTTTAGCAGTTTTATCAAAATATATTATTTAAATTTGTTTGATTCGAAATAAATTAAAGATTGACCTAATTAAAGATTAAACGGTTAAGATTGCTTAATTCGAAATAAACTTCCCGCCCAAACAATTGTTAACTTTTAAACAATTAAGAAAATCCTTATTAGTTAACTTTCATTTAACTTTTATTTTATA